TTTCGCACCCCCCCTCCCCCTTTCTGGTTCAGTCTCTTGCTGCCCTTTTACCCTTTCACCATCCACTGCCCCGCTGTTATCCGTAACCTGTTGCTCATCCATCTCCCTTTTGCCACCTGATGCCCTCACTTCCTTCCTGCCCTGCAGCGCTGTATAGTCCTTGTGGCTTAGCGCTTCTTTTTGATTATAATAATAATTGATTTACGGAATTGGATCTGTGCTCCAGTTCCCCGAATTAAGCCTGAATGCCTTCCACATCCCCCCCCCAGGCGCTGTATAATCCTCCGGGTTTAGCGCTTCCCCCTTGATTATAATAATAATAATGTATTTCACAAGCCTACGTTCCCCTCCTCTACTTCAGTGATCCAAGAAAGGTATCCTCTTATCTCGTGACCCTATCAGAATAGTCTACATAAAATTAGGCATGTCAGTAGTTTCAATAACCTTTCCCTAGTTAAAGTACAGTTGAAATTCTGAAGTTAACCGGATGAGACATTCTCAAATTACAAACGAAACCCTTGGAGAGAAAAAAACGTCTTTAGCACGTAACACCAAGTTTAATAATGTAGGTAAATGATACATAACATATGCGTAATGTAATCTAGGAGTGAACTACTATGACTAGCATCAGTTTGGGTTAAATTATTCACTGGTAGGTAACCAGGCCAGAGAATTCAGTGTGGCGTTGACGGCCACCGTGTGTAGACGTGGGAGTTCTGTGCTCTGCAAACATTACCACTGACGTTTCTCATTTAACATTGACGAACCGTGTTCAAGGAATGCTGATGGACGGACTTGGGTGTATAATTAGTTCTAAGAGTTATATACCTGAATTATGAAAGCTAAACTAGGATTTGGAAGGCACATGTAATTGCCCGGGTAGCGTGTTTTACATGATTTGCGATGTTGTGAAATAGTTTACCGATTTTCAGCATTGAGAGGTGTATGTATCTACCGATTTTCTGCATTGAGAGGTATATGTATCGTTGTATATACAGTATACATTGAGTTTACTTTAATCCCTATTTTAGGGATTATTCTTATTAGTTATGTACGTACATCCTTAATGACCTCTGTTCAACGATAATCGTTTAACCTAACCAAACTAACAATTTCACACATGTATATCATGGAAAATTATGTAATATCGCTTTTGAGAACCTTTTGAATATAGTCAACATTCTGTTACATTAAAATTAAATAATTTGTACAGAAAAAAAATCAAACATTTAGTGGGAAAAAAGATGGTTAATTACACACAAGTGTTTATCTGAACATTACATAATTTATAGTATGATATTAACTTTACAATGAACTGTACCCACCAAGGTGATGGATGTTACTAAAACATTGTAGTGTTTTTCATTGGTTCATATTTCCTGTCAGTAATGCGTGGACCCACTATGTGTTGGCGAGTAGTATTAAAACTTGTGTTGGTGGTGGAGGGGACCAAGAGTGTGGTTGTAAGCGAAGTAAACGTTAATAATGGCAGCCAATGGGCAACCCAGCCTCTGACGGGAACTGCCATGATGTCCGCTTTGCCCTCTTCCCAATTGATGGAGGTCGCGCACTACGGCATCAAGGAACGCCACCTGCCTTCTGAAGCACCTCGCCACCCGCACAGACCTGTTGAGAGAAATAGAAAACCCATCCCGAGAGGATCAGTAGCCATTAACACTTACTACAACCCTACTACTGGTCTTGCTCGCCACCCTCACAGCCCTGGTGTCGACTCCCCTCGAGCCTATCCTGGAGCACCTGAAGGGTCTGCAGGGACAGTTAGTGTGTGGATGGACTCTCTGCCGTCTGGTAAAGATGGCAAACCTGGAACCTCTGTAAGGAGTCTGGACCCGCTGGAATACCTTGTCGAGGACGAAGATGAGGCTGAACCTGGCACGTTGCAAGCAGCCTTGCATACACTATGGACACAAAGGTAAGATCAATATCACATAAGTTTTATACCTTCTCACACTGCATACTAGAAGTGTTGTAGGACGTAAAAGAACCCTGTTGGGTGAATATTATTGAATGTAAATTGGCAGTATGCTGCAAAACGGTGAAAGGAAGCCAAACTATAAAATTTTATTAAATTTCGCTCTTTTCAGCTTTTTTCTTTTTCAAATATATTTGCACAGCATATTTAGCGCTTTTTATGAATATTAATTAACCCTATCCAGTGTCTACTTTTGCTCCCTTCCCCTTTTTTACGTTTTTCTATAGAAAAGTTTTTGATAAATCTTTTTCTTATTTGTTTTCCAAACAGTTTAGTATCTTTAATTCTATATTGTGAACTGGAAGGTAATTGTCGTTAGCCTAGATTGCTAGAAAATTAGTTGTTAATTCAAGGTCAACCTTTGTCTTACGCACCCATCTGATGGTAAGTCTGGGCTCTCAGAAGTCTCTTAAATGCTTTATAATGTGTGTCGCCTTAGTGCTGCACCTTTCATGACTGACCTCGCATATAGTATATAAAATCTTGAATGATTTCTTGAGACCCCATGAAGATTGCTGCCAACTGGTAATGTAACACACGACATATACGTTATGGACATTTAACTCTTCACTGGGGTCTTAATGCGTGTAAAGAAATTAGGGCTACTCCTTTTCAGTATAATAATGACATACAATACAGACAACAAGACATTTGTGCAGTTACGTAAGTTTATTCCGAACGTTTTCGCCTACACGGTAGGCTTCAATCGAATACAGAGGTGGCAAATATGGAGATAGCAGAGGCAGTGGAGAGGTAATAATGTGATCACACTTATTAACCTTGTAATATAGTACTTTTAAGTGGTCAGTCCATCAGCAAGATATTTGTCTTCATAGTCTTTAAAACTGAAACATGGGAAAGGAACATTTTATAGTGCCAGAGTTAAGGGCAGAGAATGGAGATGACTTCATAAAAAGCTGGACCCACTAGAAGTAAGAACGTAAGAGGAACACTGCAGGCAAGCCTGTTCCATGCAATGCAGGTCCTCAAATGCAATTTTTCTCACTCATAACTAGTGCTTCAGCATCACATTGTTAAAAAATTATGTAGTTGAGAACATCGCCGAAATGAGAGACTGACCACATCAAGGCTGATGGACTGACCACATCAAGGCTGATGGACTGACCACATCAAGGCTGATGGACTGACCACATCAAGGCTGATGGACTGATAATAACATCACCTTTCCGCACTTTCCACCTCTGAATTAGGCCGATGACTGTGTAGGAGAAACTTTTCAGAATGGATACCTAACAATGTCCTTAATGCATACGCCTTGCTCATCTTCCCTTCAGTTCACCAGGCGGGTTTAGCGTTTCTGCATAAATGTTATAAATAGAGGGGGGGGGGTCCGAATCTGGGACACGGGACAGAGACATATTCGTCATTTCTTGCCATTTTCTTAAGCTTCCTTCCCTCAAGAGGGTCGTTGATGTGGGTGAGGGACTCTTGATTCAAGGAATTAGACTTGTTCTCCCATTATTTGGCTTGAATCTGTTTGCCTCTCGTACTCCCAGGCACTGTATGGCTTCAGCGATTTTCTCTACATAAAATAATTCACTTACTGGTACTAAATTACCTTCGGTTCGCGCTTCATTTTTTTAGTCTAATATAATTGAGTACAAATAGGCAGCGCGTCTGTCGCATGCTCAACAGACGAAGATTCAAGCCTCCACCACGTCTTAACGCTGAATAACCCATGAATTTAATGCCTAACATGAATTAAACAAATTAGTCTCGATATATTTCATGTTTTGGCATTATGGCGTGTTAATAATTGGTTGAGTTGACAGTGTACTCTAAGTCTAATCTAATGAACAGTTAATCTAACCTTACTTTTTTTACCCAAATAACTTAAATGGAAAAAATTACCGAAAACTCTTGAGTTTGACTTGGCATATAAGGAGATAGGTTGTAGCATAACCGTGGCGTGCGCTCTGATAATTCACCGAACCACAAATAGTGTATATAGTTAGAATTATATATGGTAATGCGTAACTGTGCTTCTCGTGTATTACAGTGTACTCAGGGTTATATATGTAGTTTCCTACCTACGAGAATTGTGTAATACGTAATACTACGTTGTAGTGACGGAGGTTTAAATCTAGCGGAATATTACTGTACGGTAAAACTCTGAACTGGAGTCGCTTTAACATATTGCTTAACTCGGCTAGTGGAAAATGGTGGTTCTATTCGTCCGAAAAAAAAGGGGGGGCAAATATTTCCGGACACTGATCTTTTGTCAAATGATTAATCATAACCTGTTAAGTATCCGCTGACTTACCTGAAATAGGCTTTACAGTCGTTTAATAAATGAAGATCATTACCTAGTAGTAGTGCCCTAAGATAGTGTGTTCGTTGGTGTTGTCTTTTTAACAAATGACCATGAGCCTTCCAGAAGCAAGTGTAACGTGTGGCATTGTCGTGCTTTTTATGTAGTCGGTTATGCAAGCAGAACTCTTTTCAAATGCTTTCGAATAAATCTTATGCATTAATAAGTATTTTTTCGTGGCTTAACATAGAATGTTCAGTTAATTTTGCATTAAAAGAAACCACAGTCTTCCATAACCTTCCAAAAATTACTATGATTTAACTTAATCCACCTCAGGTTTATCATAAAATATAGCTAATATTTAACATCAGTAAAAAAAAATTTTTTTTTCTGCAAAAATATAGCAGAAAGATATTTACCGCTCTACCTGCATTGTACATGTATATATAATGATATATGCACTCTTTCGGCTGACAAATCTAGCTCATTGCTAGTCCAGAAACCTTGAAGACGCATAGAAAACCATAGATTCATAAAATATTACTGTCTTCCTAGTTACAAGGTTTGATGCATGGACTGCTGTTAATGTGCTTAACAATATTCCTCACCGTACTCAACTCTTGCATAGATTTCTTTGATCGATTTTTTTTATTAGCCGACATGTGTTGCTAAGTGCAACAGCCGAAATGAATGTAGGTGAATTACGTTACTAGAGGCATAGCTGTGTAATTAAAGTTGTTGAATCATCACTTTACAGGACAATGGCCTTAGCCCTCCCATGCTTAATATTCAAATAAATAATCTGCAAAATTCTACCAAGTAGTAAATTATTTAGGCCTCGTACATAATTTAAGTGGTTATATATTTAACACCGGCCATCTCACCGAGGTAGGGTGACTCGATAAAGAAGAAACGAGAAAAAATGCTTGTATATACTAAATTGTATAGAATTTGACCTAGGATACCTGAATAAATTCAAACAATGACTGTTCCATTAGTCTAGGCCCATGCACCCTAATAAATAAATATTGATGGACTGACTTGATCGAACAGTGACTGGTGGTGATGGGTCCAGCGCTTTACCGCTAGTTAAAAGACGAAATTTGATCTGCAAACAATGAGACAGGAGAAAAGCGATGAAAACTTTCTTAGTATCTATTATACAAATAGCCGGAGTGCAAAAAAAAAAATAATTGCAGATGTAAGAAATGAAGATACAGCAATAAATGAAAACTGGTACAATTTGATAAATGCGTACATGCCTGCTGAATTCCACATACAGGGGTATAGACTATTCCATACAACCAAATAGATTGAAGCCAATCAAATCACTGGGCCCTGATGAGCTGTTTACAAAGGGTTCTAAATGGATAGGAACTTGCCTAGTCTCAACATTTTACTACTAGCGAGTGTTGTGCAGGATAAATGGAAAACGGCAAATGTGATACCCATTTACGAGGAGGGAGACAGTCCACTCAGCCTAATCTCAGTTGCGGGAAAGTTGATGAAATCAGTAACTGCTGATGCAATTCGAAGCCACCTTGGAAAAAAAAATTGATCACGGATCTCTACGGTTTTACAAAGGAGCGTTCTTGTCTTAAGAATTTACTAACATTTTTCATAAGTATTCAAGGTAGTAGATCGTGATAAAAAAAAAATTGTGATCTTGTGTATATGGACTTTAGTAAGACCTCTGATAAATTCCTCCAAGCAGGAGACTGATTAAGAATGTAGCGGCACATGGAATAGGAGAAATCTCCTGGGGTCAAGTCATGGCTGACCGATACACAAGTGTGCATTAATAGGGATAAATAATGAGAACCTGTTAAGAGTGGTGTGCCACAGGGGTCACTGTTGGAACCTATTCACAATCTACATAAACAACATTGATGAGTGAATAAATAGCAACATAATTTCTCGTGTGTGCGCACTATAAAAAGCAGCAGGATGACTTGGATAAGTTGATGTTGTGGCCGGAGAAGAAACAAGGAAAAGGAAATAACTATGGCACTTTTATGCTAAACAATGCAGATTTTCATCAGTGAATGAAGCGGATCTATGAGTATTGGTTAACAAGAATTTGAAGTCTTGACAACAGTGCACAAGTTTGCACAGTAAAACTAATATAATTCTTAGCTTAATATCAAGAAGTATAAATAATAGAATTCCTGAGGTTATGCTGCGACTTTATATATCTGGTTAAACCTCGTTTATATTACGCTGCTCAGTTCTGGTCTCCATATTACAGGATGGACAAGAGTAAATGCGCTCGAAAACATAGAGAAGGAAGACTAAGTTGATTCCATGTACTAGATATTCTTTCGTACGAAGACATGCTGAAGGCATTGAAGTTGCACTTTTTGGAAAGGTGTGGAATTAGGGGAGATATGACTGAAGTGTACAAATGGAAAACGGGAATAAAGGGTTGGACGAGTACATGAGTGGGTGTGAATTGAACCTGCCTGTTCACCATAGGATATGCATAGGGTGCACAAGAAATAAAATTGAACTATTCATCAACCACCTCTAGAAAAGCAGGAATCAGAACAAATGCACGTCACATTATTTATATTAATAAATAACTTGAATATTGTAGTGCGTCATATCTGAACTGAGACGCTACAAAATAATTAATAAATATTAATGCGTAAGTGATGAAAGTTGTGTA